GTTTTTGGGAGGCTTAAAGGTGAACGTTTCAGGCTATAAATTACTTCTACATTCATGTTCCCTTTAGGGTTTTGGTATACCCAAAAGAATTCAACAATAGCAACACAGAAAACTGAAACTTTCAACTGAAAATCCTGCACTGAGGAAATTTCATTTTTTATTTTTCTTGCAAACTCTATGTCAGTACACAGGAACCTGTTAAATAAAACCCTGGGTTTGCCAGATTGCGTCCTTTTTTCCAGCAACAAGAGACTAGAGTCTTTCATATGAGAACTGTAGCAAATAATGGAACATCCTGAACCACTAAAAAATATTAAATAGATATTTTCCCACAATCTATAGGATTTAAGGTGCTTTTACAAATTAGGTGTCTAATTTTTAAGTATCAAATGTATTTTTTATGAAGATTTGAATGTTATATTACACGATTGATATGTTGATATTCAGTTTTTATATTATCAGTAAGTGACCTACATTGAAAAGTAAAGATTTTCCCCCCAAATCATTCTGTTTAAAAATCATCAGTATGCAATTTTGGATATATATTTTATTCCTATCAAGCAACAATGAATGTTTAACATTAAAGTAATTGACTAAAATATTTTTCACTAGATAATAGATTAATGGCAATTTTAGAGATATTTTTCACGATTTACATTAATATTTATTCATGTCAGGAATTAGTTATAAAATGTATGTATGCCACTGAAATGGCACCACTTTTAAGATTGACATTTTGTTGGCATCTTCATAGTTTGCTTGCCATGGGTTCTTTACCTTTGTTTCATGTGCTTTACCACAAAACTATCATTGCTCATCTGTTCCTTGGCTCCAAAGATTGTCTACATAAGGGGTCACCAAACTCGGTCCTGGGGGGCCGGTGTCCTGCAGAGTTTAGCTCCAACTTGCCTCAACACACCTGACTAGAAGTTTGAAGTATACCTAGTAAGAGCTTGATTAGCTGGTTCAGGCGTGTTTGATTAGGGTTGGAGCTAAACTCTGCAGGACACCGGCCCCCCAGGACAGAGTTTGGTGACCCCTGGTCTACATAATTTGATTTAACAAATATGTTGAATTCTTGTCATAGAAATTTGAATGATATACACAAGGGAAATTTTTTTTCCCCCCTTTTCTTTCTCTAGTCAGGCCAACTGTGCCAAGGCATGACCAAAACCTTCACATCTACTATAATTCCAGGAATTCAGTCAGGTCTGATGAGTGTGTCCACTTATCAAATATCAGAGTTGCTGGAAAGATCAGACCTCCCACATAGCACCAGAACACTGTGATAGATCCGTCTTGGCAACTGCATGAAGATAAGTAGCACTTACAGTTTATATTTTGCCTTTAAAAATAGCAGAGGCTTTATCAGCATTTATTTAATCAAGAGGTTGGCCGTTATCTATTCCTGGACATTATGAAGCAAATTCCTATGTAAGTAAGAGAGGAGTCAAAGACCAATTGGAGGTAGAGGTGACTGGGAGATGCAAAGCACCTTAGCATTCTTTGATGCAAGCATTTTACAGAGAGTAATCATAACATAATATCTGTAAGGAATCTAAACAATCATCTTCAGACTGTCTCATGAAAGCACCTCAAAACCTTTTAAAGATCATTTTGGTTTTGTAAATGAACACAGTACAAGCAGGAGCATAGGAACAACCTAAAAAGTGTTTACATTTTATATTTTTTAAGTTTTCAGTTCCATTAGCCTTGCTTCACTATATGACACAATTTTAATGTTAAACACTGTTTAAACAGATAAATTCCTATGGGACACAATTTTAAAGCATAACAATGGAACATTAAACATCTATCAAGCATCATTAATTAAAATGCATGACGAAATGGCAGAAATTGAACTGCAAGGTACTTTGCATCTATTTTATGGTGTGTTGAGCTTTTTGTATGGCGAATTGTCTAATTTGATATATAACAACAAGGCAGTTTATCATAATACTAATAATTTAGATGAGAATTAATTTTAAACATGTTACACAACCTGTTATGGATTGGGCATCTACTTTATTTGCCCACATATTTTTCTTTATCAAAACCATGATGTTTGTCCATATTTTCATAGCATTTATTATTATTCAAACTCATCTCACTGATGTATTACAATTGTAAACCCTAATAAACCCCACTTAAAGTATGCAAATATGGTCTGTTAACAAACACTAATTAAAAGCAGAAGGTGTTGTCTGACCTTTGGAAACAGAGAGTGAGTTTTAATCATAGATCGTTTCCTAATAAGGCAAAGCTCTATCCTGACTCTTTCCAGGCTTTTGAAGACAGCTGCAGTAACTATGACGGGGATGAAACCACATCTGAAATACATTTTGCAATACTAGGTCATTTACTAAAACCATATGTCCAAAGATTGGTCTTGGTATTACTCCTGCATTTTTCATTCTTGAATGTTTTTCTATTGAGATACACAGCAAAATAATTAGCTTTTTATTTCTTACCGGCGTTAACAGGAACTCTGCATTTATTGGCTTTTTAATAATAGTTCTGTGTTTGAACATCACACCAATCAATCTGAGGTTATGTAGTTGTCTCGTTGATTGATTTAACATGTTAGTTGAGTGGTTGATGTGGTTTATTGTTACCTAAAAATGTGAGTCCTTGTGTGGCAAGAGTGCTAGCCTAGACCAACAAGAAAGACTTTTAAAATGTTTACTTTTTAATCTTCAGAACACACGAATGCCGAAAGGTGAACCATTATCACAATTAAAACACATCACATTATGTATTTGGCTGTGTATAGTTGGTATGGATATGCCATCATCCAAAACCAACTCTGTGAAATCAGTTTGACAGCTGAACCATGAGAGATTTGTTAGAGTTTGCGTTTCATATCATAACCATATTGAAACAAATAAGAAAAGCATGCCTAGGTTGGGATTCTTCTCAAAACACCACAAAGGTAAAATGGAGCATAAAAACAACAATTAGCTGTATCTGGCAGTCATGTCTGAGAGATGCAGACAGTTTGATTAACTCTGACAGTCTTTTTTTTTTTTTAATACATAGAGCATGGCCCATAAATCATCTGAAGCATGGCAGTGAAATTGCCGTTTATTGAACTTGTGCTCATTGTTGATACAAGACTGTTGCAACATTCTAGAGAGGATTAACATGCTTGAAAAACAAGCAGTACGAATGAATGCTGCCATTTATTATATATTAAAAAAGTATATTAAAGTAATTTCACTTTATGAATAATTTACCTTGGCCATCGTACATGTATTCTTTTCTCTGTAATTATACCAGTCTGTGTGTTTGGCCTGAACTTTTCAGCTGCTACCTATCAAGGCATAAACCCTCATTATGAAAAGTCCCTCATACATCATAGTGAACCAAGTTCACAGATCAACTCATATCAACTAAGCAAAATAAACTCAAAATAATCTAAATGTTCTAAATGTGCAAACTGAATTCTAGGATAAATAATACTAGTGTTTTGTAATGGTGTGACTATACTGGTCAGGATGTTCTGTACATATTAACCATATCAATTCTCTGTATGGGACAATGACTGTAAATGACCACCACAAATGTGTTTCAAAACTAAAACTTTGAACTACTAGTTTAATAAAGACTGTAAATAACATGGTGTGCAAAAGACATTAACATTTTTATAGTCTTTATTTGATATTTGTGCTAGAATTTTATGTACAAAATGATTGCCAACATAAAAAATGGGAATAGAGAAACATTGAAACTAATAGTGCTACACCACAAGATAATTTTATGGAAAAAAAAACAAGAGACACGTTATGCAATGCACACTATACATTCTTAAATGATTGGTGACATGCATTTCAGACAAAGCTGTGGGCTAAAATGTCAAGAGTCTTGTGTTACGTTACAATTAATAAAACCTCCTTTCACCTGCAACGCAAACAGCGTTATACACTAACAGTAGCGAGTTGTGAGATTACATGGAAAAATGTCCTGCAGGAATGAACATTTCTATCAGTATTGTTGACGTTATATGCTTGAGTACTGTTCTTTTATATAATAATTTTACTAGTCAGAAAACAGCTTGTTCTACAGCAGATAAAGTATAGGCCTATGTATACAATATTCTACCATCAAACAGAATCCATAATCAACTCATGGATAAGTTATAGGGGTCTGGGCAGTTCAATTTGTCATATACATGGCTTTAGCAGTGCAATAAATGTTATGCATATATATATTGCCAGTAATTAAGCAAAGCAGACCTCTTTTTGATGACTGATTGGTACAGGTCACATAAAGGACTGTGACCGATGCACCCTGTAAAGTAATGTTGTCTATTGAACTTGGAGTAACTTTAGCAACTTATAGTAGACTCGATAGACCAATTTCAGTGTTTGCAAACAGTGATGACGGTTTTTGTGGGCGGAGCCTATCTGGTGGCAAAAAATGACCGTTTTAAAGTAGCAGTCTATGGAAGCCATGGAATAAAAGAATAAAAAAGGTAATTCTGACATTTTTCTCTCAATTCCAAGATTATATCTCACAATTCTGATAAGAAAAATCAACTCGTCATTCTCTCTTTTCCCCTCGGCTCAGAATCATGAGTTTATAATCCCACACTTCTGACTTTTTTTTCCTCAGAATTGACAAACTCGCAATTGTTAAATTAAATTGAGTTATAAAGTCCGAACTAGAAGATATAAACTTGCATTTGCGGAAAAAAGGTCAGAATTGGCCTTGAAATAGGTAAATGTTATAGGTTTACTTTAAATAGTAGGCTATTTCATGCTGTAACTGCAGAGCTATACAATATGTCCCCTATGAACTGCATATGTGAATATTATGTAGACCTACTGTTTAAATCAAATTTATGCTTTAAAAGTAGGGTAATCATAGCAGGTTTCATATAGTATAGTCTGTCTGTTTAAACGTCTGCGTTTAACTTCAAATGGCATCTTTGACGACAGTATTCTATAAAAATGATTTGCAAGTCGATTCTGACATCCAAAGCCACAACAATACATTTTTTTTGTCTTATTCCATGGATTTTACCCATTTCCCTCCACTTGTTACCAGTGTTTTTCTGCCACAACAATGTTCGTGCAGCTGCAAGTGACATAACTGTGGCGTCTACTCCAAATTGGTCTATATGCCTAAAGAAATGGCTTATATGGTACTTTCACAGCGTGTGCAAAAATGTTTGGCAGAGAATTATGCGTTGAAATGGAAATCTGTTGTAGTATTTTTCTTAGAAAAATTTAAAAGAAAAGTCAACAATCAATTGTAGGTGAATTATGATAATTTTACAACATATTATCACCAGTTTGGATATATACAAAAGTGATCCGTTGGTTGTGGTGGAGAGTTTGTCTACTGTATCATTCATTATCTTTTCAGTCTTAAACAGCACAGATCCAAGAAAAAACACCTCAAGTGTTTGACCTATACATGAGAAATATATATATAGTACATGAATAACACAAATAAAACAATATTTTGGGTTGCCTGGATGTGCAAGTTCATAAAGTAAGTGGGAGCTCTGAGAATGTTTATTTGAAGACATTCTCAAAAGCAGGGCACTTGTGGCTTTTGAGTTTTTTCATGGTCTTTTTTAACTCCTTGCTGGATTTGTCCCACTTGTGAATGCCGGTGAGAATGTACTGTTTGTCCACCTTGCGTCCCATGATAAGGTATGTGTTTCCGAGATTTTCTAGCTGCGTGCAGGGGCAGTCGGCGCCGTTCTTCAGGTACAGAGTGAGTTTCTTCAGGTCCTTCTTCTTCAAAGTGCCCGGCTTTAGGATTTTTTTCCTCTTCTGCAGGATCACCTTGCGATCCGTGTTCTCCCGTTTGACCTCTTTGATCTTGGTCTTTATGGCTGAAAAAAAAACAGAGATATGGATAAGGTTGAGAATATGGATAGAGAATTGCGATCAGCTTTCTGAATTTTCTCCAGTGGGTGGAGAGGAGACTGAAGATTACATCATCTTGCCAGTAAATAATAGTTTTCGGTATTTCTTCAAAGTAGGCCCTTATGTTTATTTCCATAATGACATGTAGATTTTGAGCCCCCACACTGTTTTTAAACACTGCTCCCACCTACTGCATCTGTTGTGGTCTATGATATTGCAAAGCTTTGTTCAATCTTGCATCGTATCCCTGGACAGTGCAGCGCTCTCTCATCTACACAAAGTCATCTAATCTCTCAGGCCACGTGCTGGGTTCAGAGAGGCCAAGAAGGGTTTGGGTTGCAAGGGGTATCACTGGCAGTGCCCAAACGTCCAAGGCCATAAAAGAGAGATTAGACTGCTAAGTAATCCAGGGGGCATAAACAGAGATGAAGGAATGGAGGAGAAAAAATACAAATGAGAATGTGTAATCAATATCAGTCCTGTCTTCTCTGCCAATGGTCTCAGGGCAAAGCCATAATGATACTGGTCTCTCTGTCATGAATTCCGTCAAGTTCAAGAAAAAACATCAATATCCTTGCAAACCAAAACCACTCTCATAGCCGTATTCTTTTCCCAGGGGGCAAGAATGTCCCAAATTGACTGCTCTCTGCCCCTCTAGACGTAACTAGATACTAGGTTTTGTTCCTTTGAATACCTCTCTTATAAGCTTGGGGCAATTAGTCAAAGGTCAGAATTTTTCTTGGCTGTAGGTGAAATGTTCCTCATTTAACTATTACTCCACTGGAGAAAAAAAAATCATCATCAAAAAAACATTCATCAAGCACCAAAAGTAACCAAGGATGCACTGATAACAATAATTCTGATAATTATTTTTAAGTTATGTCTCATTAACAAAAAATGTCTGATATATTTTATAGGTTTTTGTTTACTGTGTGGAGACAGGTCTCGTTCTGTATAGGGATGCAACGATTATAGATTTTGTTGGTACGATTATTGTCTGAGGAATAATCACGGTTTTACGATTCGATTATTACGATTATTATGCATTTATTCATTTCCCAACATAATATCACATGAACACTCTTGAGATATTAAAGTGTTATTTATTGCTGGCTTTTGAAACAGAAATAACACAGTAACCAACAATACAGCACACTATTCTGTGTGTAATTTATATAATGTATAAATATAATGTAAATACAAATCAATTAAAAATAAAAACAAAAGACTAAATCAAATCAATCTTTTTAAATGCTAGAAGTGAATTTAGGCATCACAACAAAGTGCAATATGAAAACAGATATTCATTTTGAGATTTGCTAAAGATTAATTCATCGACAAATGTAAATTAGTGTTTTTTAAAGATTCATTTTAAGTGAGCATTATTTGCCTATAAAGGTAATGTAGATGTAAAAATAGGGGAAATGAGCATGAACATTTAAATATCTAATAGTGACTGATACAATAAATTTAAAAAAAAATTATAATATCAACCTATACAATTAAATAAAAAAAAGTCTAATAACTGATATGGTACTGATAAGTGACAGAAAACGGTTGGTAAAAACCTCTGCAAAGATTTCATAAAATGATGTACCTTATCCATCAGTATAAGACAGACTCTTGACTTTTACATGGGTAAATTCTGTCATGACCACTCTTTTGACCACTTAACTCCTGTTTTAATCTAACTCCACATTCTTAGATTTGTCTTAAAGGGGTCATATGATGAGATTAAAATTTTTCCTTTCTCTTTGGAGTGTTACAAGCTCTTGGTGCATAAAGAAGATCTGTAAAGTTGCAAAGACTAAAGTCTCAAATTCAAAGAGATATTCTTTATAAAAGTTAAGAGTCAGCCACGCCTACCTAAAACGGCTCGTTCTAACACGCCCCCACATATCTACGTCACAATGTGGGAAGATTTGCATAACGCCGCCCAAATGTTCACGCAAAGAAAGAAGGCGTAACTTTTATTCTCGCTGCAGTATTGTTGCTGCCGCCATGTCGAGAAGGCGCTGTATGTTTCGTTGTGAAAGCGAAACTACTTTGTTTGGCCTTCCAAAAGAGGACGATATGGCTTTGTTATGCCTGGAGCTGATCCGTGCTGGTCGCTGAGGAAATACATTAACTTCGAGCTATGGATCGCCGGATCGGCTTTCACCGTGGACGAAGCGGAGTCCAGCCCGGGGTCATCACATGTGGTTGCCGCAAGCCCGCCGGATGCTCCTTCGTCGAATTTGCCAGCCGCGCCGTTCTCAAGCCCACCGGCCTCCGCTCACTCTAGCCCTCCGCCCGTTCCTCACTCTAGCCGCTGGCCGTTCCTCACTCTAGCCCCCGGCCTCTGCTCACTCAGCCCGCCGCCCATTCCTCACTCTAGCCCCCGGCCTCTGCTCACTCTAGCCCGCCGTGTGCGACACTGTTTCTCGTCGTGAAAGCGAAACTACTTTGTTTGGCCTTCCAAAAGAGGACACGACTAGAAATCAGTGGTTAAGTTGTATTTACAACACTGTTCCAGAACACTTCAAACCAAATATTCAGATGTGTGCAGCACATTTTATGGAGGACTGTTTCCTGATCCTGGTAGAGTAGACTACAATGCCGGTGTTTCTGACTCACACACTGTAAGTCCGTTTTTTGTATTTAAAGAATTTGCCACTGACGATTCAAACGCGAGTTTTGGGCAGTGTAGATTACGGCTTGTTGTTTGTCATTTCTCCGATCACAAATGCAGATATGGTTCTATGTTTACGCGGCGCGATGCAACGCGTAAAAAGACAGTACAAGTCATTATAATCCATAATTATGTCCCCACTGAATGCAACAAATGCCTTATTTATAATGGGTTTTCATGTTTGTTTTTGAATCGTCGCTCCGGCCTGATAGGGCATCACAGTATGGTAAGAGGCATAACATTTCCATCACATACTTGAGGTATTCTGCCAAACACAATGCACTGGATAGCTGGCCAATCACAGCACACTTCGCTTTTCAGACCGATGAGCTTTGTAAAAATTGACGCGTTTCAGAAAGGCGGGGCATAGAGGAGAAACAATAATGTACAGTAGGTGAAAAATAATGTTTGTTTTTTTTACCTTAAACCACATAAACACATTTCATTACACCAAATACACAAAATAAAGTTATTTTTAGCAACATCATATGACCCCTTTAATCTGTCTGATCTATCAGTAAACTCTCTTTAACCTGTTAATCTTTTAATTTCCTTAACCTTCACACGAGTCAACTCCACGGTGGTCCTGCCATAATATAACTTCAATGGCTGTTACTTCAATGGCTGTTATACGAAGAACGTAACATCTTAGCAACTTCAACGGTCTAACATCAGTGACCCACCAGTGAACTTCAGAAGAATTTGGTCCAATTAGCAGGCCGATCCTGAAGACCCGTGGAAATGAGCAGACATCGGTATTGAGATTTACTGCTAATTATGCTTTAACAACCTGATTAGTCTCCATTGGCTGTCAGTGAGCAGACCACAGTGAAACTAAATCTTCATCATATCCTCTTGAACCTTGACTTACAAATATCCTCTACAGCCTGGAGCATGAAAATATAATGCTTGATCATTGCCAAGGAAAGTTAAAGTTCCCCATGAGGACCCCTTTTAAGTCATGAGAGCAGCTATAGTTATACTTATATTACAGTTATACTGTAATTCAAAGAGTTACATGATGAAATGTGTTTTAGTCCGCAAGCCATAACCTCATATCTCACACCTCCTCACTTCTAATGACTCTTGCAGAAATAAGCCTGTCTTCCCAGTATTATTAGTGCACATGGAAGGGATTACAGCTTGATCTGAAGTCTATAAAGGAGCTTAGTGTTTGATGAAATAAAAAAATGGTCTGAAGGTTAAAGAATTATCAAGTCAGGCTAGAAAGAGTCTTGCCTACCTCCCACATCCACTTTATCTTAGTTCAAATCCCGCTTTAACTCCACTGTGAACTCCTTTTGCACCTTGTGTTTGTGAATGTAATCCTTACAAATGCAGGGACATGGGTACAGTTGAATACCTTCAGATGTGGCTTTACAGCTAATATGTGTAACACCACACTTTCCGAACAATAACAATGGGAAAGCTATAATAGGTTTGGTTTCTCTTGTTCTCTGTAATCCAGTGTCTCGAAAAGGTCAAGCCAAAATAAAGCGCCATATAAATCAAGCCATTGGAGATGCCTTTCTAATGTCCCTCAAAGTGACAAGTCAATATCAGTGTTGACTAGCATACCACTCTGAAAAGTCTACACAGATGTGAGGATAGTAAGCAAATATTGTGCGCAATGACCGCACATAATTGCTGCATTCATACAACATACTACAAAAACACGAAGCAGCCACCATTTCCAAGCACAGTTGGTAGATCAGATTCTAAACACAAACCCGAGCAGATAATGTTTCAATCTCAGATGGTCCAAATAAGTAATTCATGCTTGAAAGCTTTGGTAAATATTTGATAAATAAGATATAAACAAAGAGAGCATATCTCAGAAATCGTGTGGTCACAATCAGGGTTCTTTCCAAAATGAAATGAATCATTTTGATAAAAAAACTGTGAAAGTATTCACATCATCTGTGATAACCATTGCTTTAAAAAACCTTTTAGCCTTCGTCCCTGATCTTTGACCTGGCTTCCTCTGTCATTCTGGAGACATGTCCAGAAGTAATGATGCCATAAACTCAGTAGGGAGAGTTTGGGCTGAAACAATTCACAAACATGGCACATGTGGCCTGGGATGAGCTCCAGTTAAAATGGTGCTACACCATACAGTTTTACTACAGGAAAGCTGAGCATGCATCACTGACCACAGGATTGACAGCCAACTAAAGTGTGCTAATGCAGTACTGTTTTGTCGGAAAGACGAGATAGAATGGCAATAAAATGTATCTATACTTTGTCTTCTGTTCCCATATTCTTCAAATATCTGGTATTCACAAATCTTTAGGATTTTCTGAGTATCCAGAGCTGTTGTATAGAATATGTATAGAATGTATAGAAGCTTGATGGAGAGACTAACCCATACATTTACTTCCTCAATTAAAGCAAGATTTCACAGCGTGAACCCTGCCTTCCCTCACTGTCTGTCTTTGGCAGTATCCTGGATAACAAATGTAGTACTGAGGTCACAGAGAGAGAGTGTCAGTGGGGTCGGTTTACATAAAGCTGACCAGAGACAGACGGCAGCTTTCCAGAGATAGCTTACCCATTTCAAACACTGAATGAAACTTTATGGTTTTGTCAGAGGCTAACCAAAACCAGCTTTTGTTTTCCTCTTCAGAGGAAAGCAGGAAGTCACTCTCGCACTGCTCTCCTTTTGTTGAGGTAACTCCTGCTGTGATTGGCCTTAATGGCTGCAGTTATAGGCTCATTTAACAGTCATTGTTGTTAACCATCCTCAAAAATAAATGTTCAGTAATACTGAAATTCTAATAACAAGAAATTAAACACATCTTTTGTAACAGTATGGAAAAAAGGCCACTAATGTACCAATGTCATTCAATCAATATATCATTCTAAAGTTGTGTTGGTAAGATATTTTTAATGTTTTTAAAAGAAGTCTCTTATGCTCACTAAGGCAAGCATTTATTTGATCAGTAACAACAGTAATATTGTGAAATATTATAACAATTTTAAATAACCATTTTCCATTTTAATATATTTTAAAATGTAATTTATTTAAGTTTAATTTAAAAGAACAGCATTTACATTTTAAATAAAAATATTGCGTATGATTAATTTATTTACAAATGCATCCTTGTTGAATAAAAGTATTAAATTATATATATATATTTTTAAATCGTACTGTCCTTATAATATATATATCCAATTAACTCCAGTGGCCAAAGAGTAAACTCTTGACAGTCTCTGCCCAGAGGTCAACCCCTGGGCTGTCGTCACATGGAGGACAGGAGAGCAAACATCCCAATTTAGAGCTGTTAGTAACAGCCAACTAAAGACTGTACAGCCTCTGTGAATTACCGCAATTCATTAGTTAAACAGTCATGGCCTCTCAAAGGGTAATCCAAACCATGCAGCTGCTGCTGTTTTAATGTTTAAAACCATTGCATTGTTCCATTAAAAGTGGATTTGGCAGTCAAGACAGTTAAATATGTGCAAAATAACAAAATTGTGATCCAGTGATTCTAAAAGTGCTTGAATCTGTCCCAAAAGCAGTGTTAATGGCCATGAAATAAAATATCATTCTGGCACTCGACATTTATGGCTAAAGAAAGCTATGACTCAACGTGATGACTTAACACTGATGAAAGGTGGTCCTCATCTTTAAACTAAACTAAACTAAACTGAAATATTTAATATAACAGTAAGCAGCAAGTCATTATAAAAAAATGAATTGCTATGGTTTCCGCTCCTAAAAGAATAAAGTTTTCCCTCATTATTATAACACAAGACCATGAGAACCAAATTTAAGATGAGCAGGAACATTAAACTACAGGCATCTGTATGAGGCTGCTGGGGAAGCTGAAGGAATAGGTGAATACTTTTGGTTCAAGACTGTGGGGTTTTGGCTGTTCTTTCAAACGAATATATATCAGTCTTGGCTCTCTTGTATGCCTACTCCATTTCCAGAATACAGAAGATGAGAGAGGAAGATGGGCTGCAGTCCTGACATGTTCAGTGTGTGAGCGCAAAACAGCATGGATGTGTGTTTTTTCTGTGTGTAGGCATGTGTGATATTATGTTCTTACCAAATTCACTGGCGCACATGTGCTCCAGAATCACATCCGTTTTCATTTCATTGTCACAAGGAGGACAAACTGGGGAGTATCCTAAAACAGAGGAAATGCTGTCAGTGAAATGTCAGAGAAATTCACCATTGGTATCAAAATCCAGAGTAATTGTGACCAAATGTTTTTTTTTTCTTTGTGTACTTTGGTATATTTAGTCCCAAATTGTTGTTGTGTGCGACTCTTTGGAAAGTCTGCATTTGGCTTTTAACAGTGGGGATCCAATCACAGTGAAGTTTTCTTTCAAAAGGAGGAGAATTCAAACTTGTTCAACTTCCTCTAATTATCTACTCGTCAGGTAAACTATGGGAATTTCTCCTGGCTTTCTTCTCTTTTTTGAAAGGGCCTGCAATACATCCTGTGCTTTGAATTGTTAGTATACTTTTTTTTTTTTGCGCTGCTCTTCTCATAGCACTAAAAGATTCGAATCAAACCTTTTTAGATAGACATAAAAATGTTTGCTTGTTTCGTTCTTTGCCTGGCTGTCACATGGTAATTTAAAGTAAACCAATATGATCTGTGCTATTTACATTTGTATATAATCTATTGTTACAAGTTATGCAGGTTAGAAAAAGGAGGCACAGGACAACACCCCAATAATGGGCTGACTGTAATTAGGACAACTATTCTTCTCCAGATATCTCCCTATAGTCATGGAAACAGATAAATTAAGCCTTGATCATTATAATCTGCATTTCAACAGGATCAGACTCCCTGTCTGTCTTTATTTACGCTATTTGACAAGACTTTGATTTCATTTTTGGTGACTAATTGTTTTTTCATTTGCATCTATTTAACAGATCACTGTGGAAATTGCACTCAGGTGAAAAGAGCTTGTAAAGACAGCTGCTGGCAAGGAATTCCAAAGATAAACATTTTTATGTCACAACTTTTCTGCGTAATTTAAATGATCACCCACTTGCAAGCTACCAGTGGGTCAAACTATTATTTTAAAGCATTTTAGGCTGATGGCATCAGCAGCAGTAAACTTAAACTGCCCCGCGGAAGATAAAACGGAGTTCGAAAAATTCAGTGGCTCCTGGTGAGTGTTACTTTCTCCCCAGGCATTATTGCCATGGAATCACAAAAAACAGCGGACAAATGGTTAGGGCTTAACCCCTTGTAGAGAGTAGGAAAAGAGGAAATACCTTTCTTCTCTTTAACCCGACACTGCTTGAAGCTTACAGTGGGTCGATATGTGAGGGAGGGTCTAATGTATCTGTGGCTTTGGGTTCATTCGACCATGATGCTGATAGCATGTGATAACAGCTGACAGGATCTCTATGGGGTGCTTATTAATTTAACTTCTCTCTCTGGTATTCCAACTTCCAAGCCATCATGCTAGTGAGCTCTCACTCAGGACTGTGCGTCACTAACAGCAGGCTAGGGCAGATGGCTGAAGTCACAAAAGTATCTTCTTTCAGTGTGTTACATCGTTCTGGCACACAGTCTGTTCATTCTAAAACACCATTGTAACTTTTGAAATGGAAATTCCCTTGTAATTTATGAGCCATCTACATAAGCTAGTTGTACTTTCCCTTGTCTGGGACATACAACTATAGGGCTTGAGTGTTTCCATAGGGAGCTGGTGCCAGATGCCCTGACTTACCTGGTAAAATAGTCCACATGACTACAAGATGATATACTCTAACCTGCCTACTAACCTACCTAATTTGCTTTAAATTACAGGGGAGGTTTTTAATGGGAGTCTCTAAGAGTGTGGAAATGTATTTATTTATTTTCTAACCATCGAAAATGTTAATTTTCTGCTTTGGTGCCACCAGTAAATGAAAGCAGCTGTTCAAATCTCTCCCTTTGTCTGAGCTAAAGTACTATCCTCCTGCATTACCTTATGAAAAAAATGTGTTAACAGGCACAGCAGGGAAGCCTGGCAAAGTTTTTGCTGGTGTCGTATTGAAATAACATTACATTTACAGAAATAACTCATAAATACAGTAATAAGTCATTTTTACAAAGAGAAACTGCACTAAAGAAAATGATCTATTCCAAAAATTAGGTGCCACAGTTGTGAAATAACACCAAATAAATAGATATGTAATAGTCTGTTGTTGGCACACATCCCAGCGTTGTCCTGGAACTCAACTAACACCCTGAAATCAATTGCTACCAGCTGTTAAACAAGCAAAAACTCAGCTTTTCATCTCTCATGCTTTACCTAGAAGCCACATCCCCTGCGTCCTCTACAGATGTTATTGTAAGGAACGCGTTACCTATAGAAATGTTCCCAAAACTGAATCACTTGTCAAATCAGATAAAACCATGAGGTATTTAAGAGCCTGAGAGGCAACAAAAGGTGTGATAAGTCTATATGAAAACCCCCAAATGGACACCGGTCCCTGAAATAACATTGCAACTGCCTTTAAAAAGTTAAAGTGTTACTTCTCACACACAGCAAAAGGTGAAAGGCTGTAACATAGGTAAAATAATACTAAATGTATACAGTATACATTGAAACAGTCAGTATAACCTTACATGTTTATCAGGATAAAAAGTGCCATCACTGAAATATACAGATAGAAAATAAATCAGTATTGGCAAAACAATTACAACTTTTTTCACCCAAATTTTCTTTGCAAGTCAAAATTTGCATCTAGGTATATTCATTTGACATATTTTTGATTAGCCACACATATATATCTTCATGTTTTAGTGAAATCACACCTGATAAAAAATGAATAAGGCCAAACTTAAACTTTTCATGTTAAGCCATTTGGACTTACCAGTGGGCTTGGAGGCCTCTGTGGCATTGGGCGCACTGATGCACACATCATCTTGCGGAAACTTCTCGCAGGTGAGCATCTCAGGCCAGGGAAACCCAAATGCTTCCATGATGGGTGTGCAGCCATCACGCACATTTTCACAGAGCCAGCGGCATGGGTAAATGGGCCTCTCCAGACACACGGGGGCAAAAAGGGAGCACAGGAACACCTGAGTGCCCGGGTGGCAGTTCTTGTGCACCAGGGGCACCCAGCTCCCAGCCTGCTGCTTGACCTCAGCCATAGTCTCGTGCTCCAGTACGTTGGGCAGCAGCATCTGGTTGTAGCCCACACCGTGACAGAGCTTCAGGTCATCTGGGATGTCTACACACTGCGGAGGCTTGTCATAGATACGGCCGTCATTGTAAAACTCTGCCTTCCAGGTATCATACACATACTCAGATGCTTGGCCCAGTGAGACCATTGGCATTATTAAAATGATGATCCTCCAAAGGAACAAAGATGCGAAGGACTTCATTGTGAACACCAGGTCAGGATCCCCAGTCAATGCAGCCCCCAAAGCGGTGAGCCTTGAGTGAAATTAAGTCCTCTTTGTCGACAAAATAAGGAGGGAGAGCCAAATACCTCTGAAGTGAAAGTATTGAAGCTGTAGAAACTCCAGCTCTGAAGCCCCGTATAGCTTGTTGCTGACTCACACAGCTGAGTTGCTTGAAATGCGCTGCGCTCGAGACCAGGGGAGACTGAGACCGCCTCGGCGACCAATAGGAAACTTTCTGCACCTTTTGCTTCTCATGTGTCAATCAAAGTATTCAATGGCCCAATGAATGAGCCAATATCCCCGCCCGCGTGCGTTTCTCCCACTCTCCTTTTGTGGAAACAGGTCTTTAATAACTTCATTTCGATAACATTATTCGAGGCATTGAAATGTATGAGGAGTTACTCGCTGAAGGCTTGTGATAATGACATTTACAATATTCTGAAAAGCCGACAAGAGTAGCCTACCTGAGGAAAACTGTATTACCACGGAACTCTGGTTTGCCGTGCATTTTTAACTCCATGCGGTTTCCTCAATATGTGCGGAATAACATGTTAGCTGTAATAGGCTAGCCTACTGATTTTCTTGATAAACCGGCATATATGTCATTTCTGTTCACATAGCGAGCGTTTAAAGGTGTATATTTCATAAGACATTATTTGCTCTGTATCGTGCAGGGTCTCATTTGTATTTCAACGAGCCAAATTAAGTTAAAACGTGAGGTGTGAAGTCGCCCGACGCATGTTAACTCCTCTGTGCAGTTGTTTTGCTAATCACATTGGTGAGATAATGAAGTCTGAAGATAGCTCAGAACTCATTACCAGCAACTCCCGTTGTCAAGACAGTTTAAAGCAATACGGATTGTAGAAAAATGTGACAATGCAGAATAGCGCAAAATGTTTTCTCAACTTTTGTGTTCCTCTGTGTAGAAAATTAAGAATTAAGAAAATGAATCAGGACAGCCAGTGTGTACATTATTAAACACATTCAGTCAAGGTTATCTTTCCGTTCTCAGTTTAATTTTAAAAGATGATTAAATCGTCACAAAGAGGGTGACAGTCCTGGCAACGTTTAAAATTTTTTTTTTACATACATACAATTTTATACATAACACCGTTTTAATCCTATAAAGCATAGACTACTGTATCATATTTGATAAGCCTCTACATACCTCTCTTCATACTTTTTTCTTCTAAAAATGTACACCTTAAGGTTGTGGCAGGTGTGTTTTTGATGTGAAATCTTTCATATTTTTTATAAAGTAAATGCAAAAATAACTTGTATTGTTCAGTAGCTAACATTTCACGATTATTCAGGATTATCAAGAGTAAGAATATTTCAACATTTAGGCTACTGGACTAAAGCAATTTAGTCACTTTATTGCAATGCAATATGTTCTGAACTATTAAACAATTAAAACTACAGAGCATTGATCATAAACTAAGTATTTAAATCATCTTACTAAGATATATTACTGGGAGATATAGAGTGACAACTGATATTTATATGCATTTTATGTAAGTAGACATATTAAGTTTGGGCTTCTGAATAAAACTGATTCCCACTTTAATATAATTGAAGACTAAGGCCTCATTTAAAATAATGTTGTCCTGACAGCTCCTGGGGAATTCACAAGACTGTATAACGCATTTCTACATTTTACACCAACCTGTGAGTGCTTGTCTGCATGTGTTGCAAAGCCAATGACTAACATTTACAGATAACTTGAACTTTCATGTTGGGATGAGGAAACAGAAAGGGAGAGCGAGAGAGAGAGTGAGAGAGAGAAGGAAATAGCCATTCCCTTTCTTACACTCCTGTTGATTTAGGTTAAGAGATTCATTTTTTAAATGTCAAATGCCAAGTTATAAAACATGTTCACACTCCATAATCTCACTATCACACTAGATGGGCCATAAAAGCCTGATACAAATATTATACAAAACAAACTGTTTTGTCATAACTTACCAGTAGCCAGCATCATTATAAGAACTACTGTAATCAAATTATTTTTCAAATGGTGACACTTGATTTTCTAAGTTTGATGATCTAATATATTTGATCAAATACCTACTGTACCGTTAACCTACTGAAGAGAACAACCATAGGATTTTAGACATAATTTCATGCATTTCCACAAAAACACACTTATAGATAATGTCTTATAGCATGAAAGACTATGTTTCTATGAATTTGGTTAAACATATATCAGCTGAGACTGCACTTCATCTGTGCTAAACTAAACAACAAGACATGGTCTACATGAAGGTGAACATATCTGAAAGACATGGGGCTAAAAAAGCAAAAGTGTCAGGAAAAGGGAGTGCTGGCTTAACGGAAGGAACAACGTGAAGCCCACAACAGCCTTCAACTGAAGCATTTTTCAGCCAGCACCTTTCTGGGAGTTTAGGGAGTCTCTTAAGCTGAATAAATGAATGCCTTTTCTGTTTGTATAGCCTCTGGTATAGAGGGAAAAGGGCTTGATCAAGCTAATATCACACTGAGAGATGCCTGCATGAATGCTAATTGAATGGCTGTGAGTGGAAAAGTGACCCAACAGTAGGCCTCTTAACATAACATTTAAACTAACAAAGCAAAACTGTGGTAGTTGTATTGAGTGCCCATTGGACCCTATGCAAAGTGGTTTCCTCAGCCACAATAGAGATCATTATCAGTAAAATGCGCATACGGGTACACGAAAGGTCTAATCTTATAGTAACTGCAGCACCTGAACACTGCAACTTTCCTGATTTAAAGGAGAATAGATGGCTAAATGCAGGAATGTGATGATGCATAATGGGAGGTCTTTGTCTTCCGTTTGTAGAGTTCCACACCCATGAGTGAAAAATAAGAAATCTTAATTAAGTTACTTAGAAAATCGCATCAGGACTAATTAAACCTCTGTTGCATGAATTCCAAAGTAGCTTCCATATTCAGTTAAACTGAAAATACGCATGCCATTTCATTTACTCAAAACGTATCCCACTTTAATATAATTGAAGACTAAGGCCTCATTTAAAATAATGTTGTCCTGACAGCTCCTGGGGAATTCACAAGACTGTATAACGCATTTCTACATTTTACACCAACCTGTGAGTGCTTGTCTGCATGTGTTGCAAAGCCAATGACTAACATTTACAGATAACTTGAACTTTCATGTTGGTATATCTATATCCCAATTAACAAAAGGAACAAACTTACAAACAAGTTATAGTAACATTATTTGAATGCTCTTTCAGTGTTATCAGGCTTGATAAACATTCACCCAACGTTATCATAAAAACATTATTCATGCTTCGTTATTGTAAAGTTCTTTACTACAGGTCAGTTAAGTAACTCCATGACTTGAACAAACAGCAATTTAATAGGTTAAAGAGAATTAAATTAATAATTAAAATATATTTAAAAGTCATAAGACACTAATTATTTAGTCAGAGTGAAACACTCTAATAATAATAATAATAATAATTCATTACATTTATATAGCGCTTTTCTAGGCACTCAAAGCGCTTTACATTGTCAGGGGGTATCTCCTCATCCACCACCAGTGTGCAGCATCCATCTGGATGATGCGACGAGAGCCATAGTGCGCCAGAACGCCCACCACACACCAGCTTACTGGTGGAGAGGAGACAGAGTGATGAAGCCAATCAGCAGATATGGGGATTGTTAGGAGGCCATGATGATCAGAGGCCAATGGGCAAATTTGGCCAGGATGCCGAGGTCACACCTCTACTCTTTTCGAAAGACATCCTGACCACAGAGAGTCAAGACCTCGGTTTAACATTTCATCCGAAGGACAGATGAGACGTTCAACTCTAAACAGAAATTCAAGGGACCTATTACCAAACTAAAATAAATGCAAGTTTAGAATTCAAATTTAATGATTTAAGTAAACCTTTTAAGTTGCAAATATTATTTTGTTCTGCTGACATGATTATGTTAAAAAATGTACATCAACTTAATATTGTGTGTAATTTAAATGGTAATTCCTGCATTAATTGAGGTTTAATGATAATAATAATAAAAAATAAATAAATAATATTAATAATAATAATAAAGCTGTAGTAAGTATAGTAATTGTAATAAGCATGAAATTGTCTTGATAACGTGGGCAGTGCATTTTCCATTTCCCAGTATGCTTTGCATAGGACTGGATAAAGAGAATAAATGTTGAAATAATCAAATCCTCAATGTAGTTTGTTGATTTCATTATAAGAGGTCCTAAAAATATGGATGCACACTGTATATATATATATATATATATATATACATATATCCAGCCTGTATCCTTAAGCAATATATATATAAACACTCTTAGAACATAAAATTGTTAGCTGAGTAACCAAATGTACAAACCAAAAGCCATAGAGAATTTAAAGTGTGGATCAAATTTGAAATGTATATAAGAAAATTAGTGATTCATTCATATCTGTTTCTGATTTCTGACTAACATGCATGGTATACCAGTGTGGACATATGATTAATGATAGGCCAAGGTGCTGCTAAGATTGAAGTAGAGGCCAGGAAGAGGGAGGTCACCTGCCTGGTGGCAAAGTTCCCAGAGAAAGCAGCGTTCAGTTCCTTGCTTAAGGATACAGGATGGATGTGACAGGAAAAGGGAGGGTTTTCCAGCCCACAAGCTTCATGGGAGTGCTGCCTCCCCCGGCACGCAGTAGGTCATCCTGTCGTCTCAACTGACTGTCAAAATAATGTGAGTTTTGGCAGCCCATGGGCAACTTGATGCCATTAAGTGCGGTTCTAATCGGACTTGTCTGGTCAAGACCGTTCCAATGATTACACTTAATCATGCTCTCTAAATCTATAGGCTACACGGGAACCTAAAACTGTTAGGATATAAAATGTTTGGCAGTGATTTCATGTATTTCTCTTGCCCCTGAGAGCTTATTGCAGGGAGAGCATTTCAAGGCACTGGAAAAGCAATTAAATCAAACATGGGTGAGTGACTACAGGACAAATGCCTCGTCAGCACTTCTCAACATAGCCAGAGAAAGCTAGTCGGCTTTTTGAGGGAAGGGGCACTTTAAAAAAATGGTCGAAGGAGAACCCAAACAAAGAGAAGGCGAGAGAGAAACCGAGAAAAGGACGAAGTATGAAGAGATAGACAAGAGGTCAGTTATATACTTCCTCGGTTTGAGGACCCCCTTCAAATTTGGGGTCAGACACAGAGTTTGACCTTTGACCTCACAGTT